CGGGGCCCTGCTGCTCAGAGCTGGCATCCCAAGGCAGCTCTTAACCAACTCGCCACTCAGCCGGCCCCTAGTTAGACTTTTATATAATTTACAAAGTGATCCCCTTGACTAGTCTAGTACCCACCTGGCACTATGCATAGCTATTACCATATTATTGGCTATATTCCCTATGCTTTACTTTACATCCCCATGATTATTTTATAACTACCAATTTGTACTTCTTCATCCCTTCACCTTTTATACCTTGCCTCTAAAGCCCTCCCATTTATCACCCTGATAAATCTAGTACCCATCTGACACCACACATAGTTATTACAATATTATTGACTACATTCCTTATGCTATACCCTACATCCCCATAACTACTGTGTAACAGCCAATTTGTACTTCTTAATTCCTTCCCATTTTTCACTTACCCCCAAACTCCATCCCATCTGGCGACTATCAAAATGTTCTCTGTATCTATGAGTTTGTCTCTGTTTTGTTTGTTTATTTTCTTCTTTAGATTCTACATGTAAGCAAAATCACATTGCATCTGTCTTTCTCTGTCTGGCATGCTGTGCTCAGCCAAATACTCGCCAGGTCCATCCATGCTGCCACAGATGGCTAGAACCCATCTCTTCCATTGCCAAGTAATATCCTATTGTATATATGTACCACCTCCTCTTTATGCATTCATCCATTGATGGACACCCAGGCTGCCTCCATATCTTAGCCATTGTAAACAATGTTGCAATGAACATGTGGATGCACATGTCCACTTAAATATCATTTTGGGTTTCTTTTGATAAATACTCAGAAGTGGGATCACTGGGTCCTTCTTTGACTTTTCTTAATAGCCTTTGTTTTAAAGTCTACTTTTTCTGGTATAAATATTTCTGTCTCAGCTTTTTTTTATGTTTCTATTTTCATGAACTATCTTTTTTCATCCCTTTACTTTCAGTGTGTGTATGCCTTTCTATTTGAAATGAGTCTCTTGTAGGCAACATATGTAGGGGTCTTTTTTGCTTATGCTATGTGAGATGCAAAGATGAATAAAAAAAGAACCAGTGACCTCAAGGTGATGAGGATCTAGTTGGAGAGCAGGACAAGGGTGCAAGTAAAGCTCCTATAAGACCCTGAACCTAAGAGCCTTACATTAAGTGTCATAACGGCCAAAGGAAAGAGAAGTCACTTCTGCTTGGGAACAATGCAGTTAACAATTACCTGGGGAAAGTAGCATTTGAGAGAGGTCTTGAAGGATGAGTACATGT